ACGCCTTGCTTTCTCCACCTGCTGCTCACCTGCTGCTCACCTGCTGGGGGCGGGTGGGTGGGGTGGCCGGGATGGAGGGATGAATCCAGATGAAGGAGGATCTGTCTTTAAACATGCCTGGAAAGAAAAGCCAGAGTGATTTTTATCGAGGAAGGCATTATGTTTTTTAATCGGAGCTTTGTTCAAAGTTGAAAGTGTGTGCTTTGGCTTTCCTGTACCCGTGTTGTGAAACTCCCAAAAAAAAAGAAAGAAAAGAAAATGAGGATAAAAAAACATGTGGAACAACCCCTCGGCCGTTGGAGGACAGGTGATATTTCTAGTACTGTTATCTCTGTGGAGATTAAACTGACAAGAAGGATCATCAACATCGGCCCTGATTGGCTGTTTTGAGCTGAACTTCAGCCATTGAAGAGGTACAGAGAGATACTGAAAGTAGGGGAAAGTTGCACACAAAGAAAGTGAGAGACAGAGAGACCTTTTTATTAGATTTGTTTTGAATGTATATTGTTTCACTTTTAGATATTGGTGATCACATGCTACTGTATATTACATTTCAAGTATGACTAAATTGGGTCATTATTTGGCTTTGACAATACATGTCACTGAAGCGCAATGACTTGAACTGAATGAGGAGTGCAAAGAAAACGATGGGGAGAGACAGAGAGAGTCATAAAGCCACTGACTGGAGGTTAATTGTCAGCTTTGTGAGGTGGAGGGGTGAGAACCTGCAGTGTATAAAATGTATGATACTGTAACAACACACAGATATACATCTTTGCAGAATAAGGGGTCTGCATGGTGGTCTAGCTTCTGCTGCTATCCAAATATGTGGGGAACTCTCACCCACACAAAGAGCCACTATAAAGGTCAACAGTAGCCAAAAAAGACATTTAGTGTGTGATGAGCAATGGTCTGTAACTGTATGTAAATCACTCCTCACTGTAAATACAGTTAGTCATCTTCCCAAAGGTCTCCCCCACTAAAACAACAAGCCGTGAGAAAATAAACCCCTCAGTCTGAAGGGACAGAGATGACGAATGCAAGAATAATCAAACTACTCATTTTAACAAAAAAACATTATGTGACCAACTCTGTAGTCAAAAACACACAAAAACCCAACCTCACACCTCAGCTTTGGTAAACTTTTTCCCAGTTTGTCACCCCAAAAAAGATTTGCAAAATCAAATACATTAAAGGTTTGTTGTGCAAAACCAGGTGGCCTTCCTAAATGTGTAGGCGTCAGACAATAAATGGGTGGTTTACTGAGTTAAGCCAAGGTGTGCACAAATTGGGTGTGTCTGCGTTTGTTTCCGCTACCCCCACCCATGTGAAGGGTGCTCTTGGGAGAGGGTATGTGCCCACACTCGTGCCCTCTGGCTCTTCGGCTTCCCTCCATTTTGCCACATGAACTCTCCAATCCCAGCTCTCTGTCTTTTGCTGCTCTCATCTTTCTCACTGGCAGCTTTTTCCTTTTGTTTGTTTCTTTCTTGATTTTTCTGGGATAGCACAAATTATCCAACTTGTTCCCCTCTCTTTTTCGTTTTCCTGCCCTCTCGCTCTCTCCCTCTCTGTGCATGTTGGTGTAGCTGTCCTTATTTGGCTTCCCTTTGAGGGAGTGGGAGTGTGAGTATGAATGTGACTGTGTATGTGTATGTGTGTGTGTGTGTGTGTTTCCTCCTGACTGTGAGTCACTGCTTGTCTGACTCACGAGCGCTAACAAAAACACACAGTTGCCATGGGGACGCACTCCCCCCACCCCCCATCTCTCTCGCTCACTCTCTGTCAGTCTCTGGTTTCTCTCTCCTTGCGGGCACTGCTGCATCCCAGGCAGCCCTGGCACAGTTACATGGGTGGCACTCTAACTTGGGTGGGATGGTGGTGGCGAAGTGGGCTACTGAATGGAATTGGAGGGCAGAGGAAAGATTCAGAGACACAAAAAAACAGAATAAAATTAAGGCTGAGAAGGCACAGGTGAAAAAATTGTTTGTACAGAAAACTTAAATTAAAGTCCTGGAGTTTGCAGGAGGACAGGAACCTAGGGTGTGAGACTAGCAATCATCTATCATCAATAGTAAGTAGAAATGCTTGCATTGGCTGAAACAGGCTAAACAGAAAATGCCCACCTGTGGCTCTATTCTCTGCTTCTGTTCTCTTGCTTTTACTGCTCTGAAATTGCAGACTGCTTTGAACTGGGCCCGTCCTTTGATGTGCTGGCGTCACTGCTCGGCCTTGCCATAACCTCCAGGGAGCTTGATAATGTGCACACGTGTGGCATTACATTTCGACAAAGATCAGGTAGGGCACTGGATGTACCCTCAGCCTCACGCTACCAGGTTTGTCTTACTTCCTGGATGCTAAATGCTGGTGGTGCGCCACCTAGTGGACAAGCAGGTGTATTGTGCGTGTCCATTTTTACGGCAATTATTGTACTTGGCGCCACATGAACTACTGTGTATGACTCTGACTGACCTACTGATCATAGACACATTTCAGATGTCTATGAGTTGTTAACAGTTTCGCCAGAGACATTTCCCCTTAAACTTCTCAAATGGTTTCATGTCATCACTCTTCGAGGCCCAGAGAACTGTGTTTTTTCTTGTTTTGTCCCCCGTTAATATTTTCAGGACCCCTCAGATTTATCAAGTCAGACTTTGAAGGGGGCCTACCTCTGGATTGGGAGCCACTGGGTTAAACTTTCCAACTGTTTACAAGAGTTAAAACCAGCTCCAACTCAACCAGCTACAGCAGTAAAATAATGCTTATAATTGCAATACGTAAGAATCAAATCAAATAATGTCATAAATAATACATTGTCATTGTAATACATGTCATTAAAGGGGCTAATTTTCTGCCCAACCAGTACTTTTGAAACCGTAAGTAAATGTTGCTGAGTATTTTAATTGATAGATTTTGACTTGTAGTGGAGTATTGTTACATTGTTGTATTAGTTGTAACCACTGACTATCTGAATAAATGCACACAGACTGGATGAAGATGCAGACAAAAAAAACCCCACAAACACATACTATATGTCGCTGATCTCAACGAAGACAATGGAGATACACATAAAAGTACAGACACACACTTGTCTCCGTCACACGCACATGTGCATACAAATACACTTTTGACCTCTGTTTGACCTTTGTGTGGCCTGAGAGCTCACAGCAGCAGCTGGCTGGTGGAGAATTCTGAGAACAGGCTGAAACTGAAACTGTACGCCGGCATAATCCTCAGCAAGAGAGACAGAGAGAGCGCGCGAGAGAAAGAGAGAGAGAGAGAGAGAGAGAGAGAGCTGGAGAGAGCGGGGGCTGAGAGGAAAAAAGGAGAGGAAACAGGAGCAAATGAGAGATATTGTAGTAGAGGAGAGAGAAAGTAAATAAGCAAATATGAGCTTGTGGAGCAGATGAGAGTGATGGAAAACAAAATGTTGAGTCAAGAGACAGAGGACAGAACAGAGAGGGCATGAGAGACGATGACAACGCCATTGTCACACTTTATTGAAAAAAATGCAACCTGCCATATATACTGTATGCTTTTTACCGTATACATCAGCCATGGTAACAGACTGCCAGAACACACAGACTGACTGTCAAAGATGAATCAAGACACTTCTGTTAGTGTGTGAAGTACATGTAAGGGTGTGAATGGGTACGAAGAAGACAAGATGACATATGTGACTGACATTTCTTCAACTTGCAGTCCCTCTTATTGCAATGCATTACATTAACACGCTGGAGGCATATGATGGACTACGGCATTGTATACCTTCTCTGCACACACACACACACACACACACACACACACATACACATTGTGCTCCAAATGTGTGTAGCGTATGTGCGACAGCTGTCTCTGTGTGTGTAATAATCCTCAGTAAGCTCCATGGCTCCCACAGTCTCTTTCACTAGATCCTCCAGAGCATCTCTGACCTCACTGAGTGCTCCTCCTGCACTCCCTCCGCCCCGCAACCTGCTAACACTCTGCTCCTGATGTGGCCGAGCATGTCCCTTCACTCCGACCACAGCCTCAAACGTGCTAGCTGCACTTCTGAGCCCTTTGACTCCCTTTCCTTTCTTATTTAATTGAAGGGATAGCACGACATTTTGGAAAATACCCTTTTTTTTTTCTGATGGAAAGTTACCCAAACAGCCAGTTAGCTTAGCTTAAAGCAGAAACAGAGGGAAACTTCTAGCCTGGCTCTGTCTAATAGGTAACTAATCCACCTTCCAGCAACCTCTAAAGCTCACTGATTAACATCTTATATCTGGTTTGCTTAATCAAAAAAAAAAAAGATAATTTGCTGTTTTCTGTGCTGGACTGTTTCTTGGCCCTGAGCTGTTGCCAGGCAACCGGTGGAGACCGCAGGAAGTCACTGCTCCTAAGTAAGAAATATTCCGACATAACCCGCACATAACATCCTGGATAAACATCTATTGGGTTTACTGCCATAAGGGGCCTCTATTTGTGGCGTAAGTTTGCCCTCTGCTGTACGCATCAAGCCCTCACCAATGATAAACTCATTCATCACGCCATTTGCCCTGATAAATCTTCCTTTCTTGTTGTTCCAGTTTCCATTATTCACTGTATCAATACGTGTAATGTTAGTGGTGCTTCCCTTCTTTCATGCACACGTGCACTGGAGCACTTTGGGGAAAAAAAGTTAGTGGTGATACACTTATTATGGTCGAGAGCTAAATGACAAGCAACATGAACTCTTTTTGAATAAAGCAGGGCTAATCTGATGATCAGTTCGTTAACTCTATGTAAAAGTACAAATACATGTAGGATACATTATACACAACCAGTACACGCAGCCATCCTTCTCTTGGTCTGTGGTTATTATCAAGGATCTGCGTGGGGTAGAGATGGAGGGTCTCAACTCTTTCACAGTGATCTTCTGCCAACCTTTGGCTTCCTCCGACTGATAGGCCAAAACTCCCACAATGTCCACAATCATTAATGTCACAGTGTCCGTAAAACCCTTGGGGATACTGTTTTTTAATAGCTGTTTATACTTTTTTTAAATACAAAAATAGCTGTCTCCCACATTTGTTTGAAACGTGTGTCAAGGAGTGGGATGTTCAAAGTAGAGAAAAAGATTTAGGCAAATATGTGGAAACCTGCGATACTCCCATCTGAAAGAAGCACGTGTATGGGAAACAGTTTTTTTGCAGTCACTCAGAAAAGTAGCTGATAAAGAGTCTCTGAAGTGTCTTAAAATGTAAAATCCATTGTACAGCTTTTTCCTTTTTTGTCACATTTGAGTTCAGGAACAAAATATTATGCTGTGTGGGGGATCTTGGTTCTTTCTCTAAGAAAAAAACATGACCTGCGTATTAAGAGGGAGGTTCTCGCCCAACACAAACTTGTCCACGCGGAGAACTCATATCTCTGTCCTTTGGTGTGTGAAGTGTCGCCTCAGAAGTTGCTGAACAGCTCGTATTTCTTCATCCAGTCCATCTGCGGCGCCTTCTTCTTTTCTTTGGCATGGACCTTCATCTTCTCTTCTGCTGCCGTAGCGCTCAGGCCCATCTCAGCGAACGGGTCCAGCAGCCGCCCGCCCTCATCATCCGCCAGCTAGACGGGAGATGTTATTGAAGACAGACAGACAGAAGGGTTGAGGGTCCTGGCGTTCATGTGGATGACCAAAGAAACAAACAAACCCTAACCCTAACCCGTACAAACATAGCACCATACACAAATGCTCACACCCACCTGTGTGCTGTTGCCCTGGCTGCTGAGGTCGGAGCGTGTGGACCTGAAGGATTGCGTGGTGGAGCTGCCGTTGATCTGAGGGTTGGGGGAGCCGTTGGATATGGAGGGACCATCATAGTCTACACACAGAAGCCCATAGATTGTTTTACACAACAGTAGTTTTTATAATCTTTATACATAATTCATTCAAAAATTGCTTATAGGCTCAACACAAATAACTTGTAAAATAGCTAAAATAACAGCAGTCCTACCTCTGAGATGGCTGACTGTGGGGACAATCCCCCTCCTCTTGAAGTGCTCATCTGTGTCTGGGTCCACCACCAACAGCCAGGTCTCGTCTCCCCCTTTCTTTATAAAGGCCACCACCTCTGCATGCCGCATGCCCTCAATGTTCACGCCATTTACCTAGAACACACGGACAAAAACAGAAGAGTTTTGAAGTTTTTGTTAGTTAACTGTTAGAACTTTTGTGCTCAGTACACTACACACTATGATTAACATGGCTTTTAGGTGATTTTATATGCTTTCTATCGGCCATAGTGGATGCACACAGATCTTGGTAAACATTACTCACAACAACTGACTGAAAAGCTATCGACTTGGCCATTTCAACAGATTACTTCACTGACCTGCATGCTCAGAATACCAGCTTGTAATCATAATATCTGGCCGAATAGCAATTTCTCATTTTTAGGACACTGTTATGAGTTTCATAATAGTGTGTAAGCATGTATACAACACAAGTGGAGTTCCTTTCACAGGGATTTAGGCAAGTCACTCCTATTGAAAACAAAAAGATAAATAAACCAAAAAGATAAGAAATCTTCATGAGAGGAAGAATCCTATTATTATAAAATGTCTTTTCCATTAAGCGTGGATAGCTGGCAGTGTCTGTGTTCATAGCAGAGGTTGCAGCCATGAAGGTCTACTTGACCTTTAACATCCCACAAAAGGATGAATACATGAACAATACCAAAACATGCAGGCATGATTGACCACTACTATTTCTGCCTGGGAGTTACAAACAGTCCATGTCAGTGGATTGGTAAAGTTACATTCACTTTTATTTTGAACAGAGCACCTGGATGAACCTGCTTCCCATCACTCACTGTTGACATACTGCATACAATAGAGTCTGTCACTGTGCTACCTCATTCATCCAGCAGGTGGAGCCATGGAACAACGTTTTGATTATACACTGCTCAACATGACTACCAGAGCCTGCACCAATCCACACAATGTTACTAAAACTCTTGTCATTACCCACAAATTCTTCATCCTTCACAGATGTTCATGCAGCTGTAGGAGTCATGATTTAACACATTATAAAAACGACTGTAAATACCGTCGACAACAATCAGAAAACATCAGGGCCACAAACAGCTGAACAGAGGTACATAATGAATATGTGTGCATGTGACTGACCATCTGTGTGACAACGTTGCCCTTCCCTCTACACCTGCCTACTCTGTTATTGCTCTTATCTAGATGCTACGTGCATTTGGAGGCCTGCGTTTCAACAGCTTTGTCTAGACCTTGGCTTCTCTTGAGGCAGGTAGCTTCACACCACGCCAAGTTAGTGTTGGTACACAATCAATTATTGATGGCTCTCCCGGGCTCCGGCTATAGTGCTGGTTTCAGGTGTCAGCGTCCTGAGGGGGAATTTGTTTAAAATTCACCGCTTATGACAGGATGGAACATGGTAAAGCAGAGGGAGAGAGAGCAAAGTGTAAACTGTCATTTTAGGGAGAAGAGAACAGGGTGAAATAAACGTGGAAAATAGGACTTTAAGCAAGTAGGTGCAATGAGACAGACTTTATAGGTCTTTCAGGAAAGAAAGGACGAGAGAGAGAGAGAAAGAGAGAGAGAGAGAGAGAGAGAGAAAGTGGAAAGAACACAACCCTGTGAATGAGTTTGAAGAGGTGGATTCAACAGATGGAAAATAAGAACAGCTCCTACTCTTCTCTTATATTGAAAATCACAAATGTATAGTTTCCTTCCAGGAATCATGCAGATAAGACAGGCAGACATAAAAAACAGACATCAGTCTGGACACAGACTGACAGTTTGATACAGAGAGAACAAGCATCTTTGTATTCAGCCAAACAACAGGTGTTGTGTCATGTTTCACAGCCCTTCATTAACAGTCTATCCCACGCAAGACAATACACTCTGCTCTCTGCCTGCTGGGCTAATTAATAAATGCTGTAGGAACAGTACAGAAGCTTATTTCTCATGGGACTATTCCTTAGGGAAACTCTTGATACTAGTGTGTGTGTGTGTGTGT